TCTTACTTGCAATTATATTAACCGTGAAAACTAACCCATCCATATTAATTACTGCTCACTCTACCCACCAAATTCCGCACACAATCTAAAGTTCACAAGGACTCTAGATTAACACTCATTTGCACGTTTTCAAAAGAAACGAAAAAGATTTTAAATCTGTAACAAAGTCTATTCACCCCCCCTCTAGACTTTGTATTTCTCCACTTTGGGACCACCAATAAGTCTCGACGATCACCTTGTGGACCGACTTCACAAACGTACCCGATAGAAGGTTGCTGAAATTTTTCCCCAGAAACTTTCAGCTCCAAAGAATTGAGTACGGAGGAAGCTACACACCAGATTTTGAAGTGAAACTTTCCAGTTCGAAAGTTTGACCTTTTCTCTACACGTGGCCGCTGATTTCACTCAATTCCGAGTTTTGGTTAGTGAGATACGCCCTCCCGAAGTTGATAACAGAATCCTGGACGAATTCAATCTACCTTGCTGAATTTGTCTCCAAAGAGGTAGCAAACGTTCTTTAATGGCTCCAAATTTTTGATATGTCTTTATGGACGTCAATATCTAGCTTTTAGAGTTGGAATTACCTAATTCTAATCTCCGGTTTGTGAGATATGGTCTCTAAAAGATACCTCAGAAATCTGGAAATTGTCCTTGCAAATGGAGCAATATTGCAATGGGCTACTCAGCGATGTTTCATGTGTGGTGGCTGTGGTCATGGCCATTGGGAATGTTCAAATAAGTATGCCATACAATATGAAGAGTGGGTCGTAATTCATGAGGAGGAAAAGAAAAACTCATGTCACCAATTTGTCATTGAGGAAGATGTCTTTGATATTTTTGTCAAAGATGAAGATGAAGTCTTCGTAGAAGAACCAACTTCTAATGCTCAAGAAGAATCACGCTGTAATGAGGTAGTTATAAAGGACGCCACACCGAAAGTTATATATTCTAAGGAAGTGATTTTCATAGAGTATTATCCTCTTTTCGGTGAAGGAAAATCTTATTTCATCTCCGAGGTATGTTTGAAGCACGTTCTTACAAGGAATGGCATCATGTTCCGGAAATTACACAACGAGGTGTCTACTAATTCTTGAAGGAACCTCATAATTGGTGGTTCATTGAATTTCCCATTTGATCCGGGAAATCTTTTATGAAATCCCAATCAGACACGGTGGTGCGAAAGTTTGAGGACAAACTTTCTTTGAAGAAGAGGAGTATGATGTACCCCTGGACGGCTCCACTAAAATCCCAACCTCTCCCAAAATATCCAAAAGTATTTTATGTAACGCCCTACAACCCGGTCTATTAGAATTGATTATTTTAAATAATTAATTACTGTTCCGGTCCAGAATTGGGGAAAATAAAAAAAATTCTTAGAAAAATTATTTGAACATGTCATTAAATTCGTTTTGACTGTCTGATTCCGGAAACACAAACGGATCTCAATTCGGACCCGTTTAGGGGGAAAAGAGCATACCGTTCTGGTCAGATTTTAATATAATGGAGTAAATAAATATTTGTAACACCCAAAACCATTCCACACGCCATTCATCCTTATTCATTCTTCCATTTTTAATTCTCCATTAATACTCATTATACCACCACCATTATATACAACCCTCTCTTCTTCATCCCTTCACCATTTTGTAACACCCCAACACCATTAACACACAACCATCCAACTCCCTCTCTCTCCCTCTTCCTTACGGACGCCGGCCAGTAGAATCCTAAAAGACGACGGAGCTCCGGCGAAGAGAAAGAAGGAGAAGGACGAGAAGAAGAAGGAGGTGTCCACGAGAAACCATTCGCCGTTCAACGTTGTCAACTATTCGTTCATCTCATTTCATCGTTCCGTCAATCCCTTCAACTAGAGGTGAGTAGTTGTCCCTCTAATTCTAGAACATCAAGACATAATCTATGTCGTTATATTCATAGGAATATCGTGCGCAACCTACGTAGAATCTATGCATGTTCGTAGGTTAACCATCAAACATACGTGTGTCCATGTTATCAAGTTATGTACTTGTTATTATAAATGTTTTGAAACCTTGTAAGTTATTCGATTATCTAGCATGGAAATATAAACATTCGTTTCTAAAACTTCCAACGTTTTGATGACAAACAAACAGATAAAATGGAAATGAGCGTGCCTTGATAATCGAATTACAGGATAGTACAATCGACTA